TATTAATGATATTTTGGATGAATTAATGAATGAAAACAAACGACTATTAAATGAGTTATTGTTTGCAAACAAATTGAAAACACATTTAATTAAAATTCACTCAAAATATGAAACACTTATCGATTGTGAAGACAAACAACACTTCCAGACATTGTCTAAACATTTCAAGACAAATACTGACCACTCGTTTGTACACCAATTGCAAGACAATGACAACATTGACCACAAATCCAGTTATGATGAAAGCCATCAAACATGCGATGAATGGCGTGAATCTGATTCCGATGGCAAAGATGTCCGCAAAAAGAGACAATCGTTGCGAAAGTCTGTCACAAAAATAATCCTAAAATCCAATCGTAAAACAAATGACAATAAAAACAAGTCTTTGACTAAAAACCAAACGAATAGAGCGAACGGCGAAGACATTGATAGCCATCGATATAAATGTGTTGAAAAGGATTGCGACAAATCTTATATACATATCAATAAACTGTTTACACATCTGGAAAAGTGTCACCAAATAAGCGGTTCCGACATTGAAGACAATATACGCAAACATTTCGGTTACGATGGAAGCGATGACAACAACAACGCCAGCGAAGACAAGGCATCGCTCGATGAGAAACTGAAACATAGATTAAGTCACTTATGGGACGCGAAGACCAATAAATACGTTTGCGGCGGAAAGGGTTGCAACCGATCCTATAGTGATGTGACCACTATTTCAATGCACTTGAAACGTGTCCACAGCGGGAAGACATTCATCTCGGGGCTCGACGTATACAAGTGTCCGCAAAGTGGCTGTAAATCGCAATTTGACAACAGATGTAAACTCACTCAACACATAAAGTGTGTCCACCGGAGGAAGCGATCGCTGTTTTGCTCGCATCACAACTGCGACAGAGGTTTTCAGACTCAGAGTGGTCTCAAAAAGCACGAGTTGTCGCACACGGCCGAGAAGACCGAGCGCTGCCATTACCCGGACTGCGCCTACACTTCATTCTCGGCCGAACGGATCAAATCACACGTCCAACGGGTGCACGAGTCCGAGCGGACTATTGTCTGTGAGCACGAGGGCTGCGGCCGAGCGTTTAAGACGGTGCCCGAAGTGAAACAGCACGCGCTGGTGCACGAGTCGGCCGCGTACGTGTGCTCGTGGCCCGGATGCGACCAACGGTTCCGGAGGCAGTTGCAGCTCACGCGTCATATGTCTCGCCACACGAACGAACCGACCGTTCGGTGCGGTCTCGACGGTTGCGGCGAAATGTTTCTTACGGCTCATCTGCAGCGCAAACACCAACAGCGGGCCCACAATCGGCCGATGTGTGTCAAACTGGCGTATGGGCGTCGGTGCGATTGGCCCGGATGTGAGTGGTTTGGCAGAGCATTCCCGGCCCACCGACGCACCCATACGGGCGAAATGCCGTTCGCCTGCGAGTGGCCCGTCTGTGGCAAACGGTTCCGGTGCGCGACGTTCTTGAGGGATCACATGAACGTTCACAATAACCTGAGGCCATACGCGTGTCATTGGCCCGGATGTACGTATCGGTCCAATAATAGCGCTAATATCAACAAACATACTAAACAAGTGCACCGAAAGTAATTTAGCCCATTATGTCTAAAATTTAGACTTTAAATTGATTGTGTATTTTATACTTTGTAATACTTGTATTTAATTACTTTTTTTTAATAAACAACTTGATTTATAATTAAATTATTAACCAAGTTCATTTAAGTAAATAGTAAAACATATTTTATCAAAGTTACGATTAATACCGAAAAATAAAGTCATGTTTGAAAAATAACTATTGAATAAATTCATTAAATTACACAAAAAAGGTAAAATTAAATCACTTTGAATGATAACTTGTAAATTATATGTGAAAGCATCGGATGGTCAGTCCATTTGTACAAAAATACAATGAGATAATCAATGGTTACTGTAAACTAAAACCCGTTCACCCGATGCCCTCATACCCCGGGTCTGTGAGTCCGTTATCTCCGAGGGTTTGACTGTATATAACAGTCGTACTAAATGTGAGCACAAAATGTAATCACTTTTAGCCCTTGTATTCAATGTAAACACAACTCAACTCAAAAACAAACATCACTTTTATTGTCCATCGATTACCACAAGTGATTATCACCAGTGGATTCAGACCCGGGATTCACTGCACCAATCAATGCAGTGATAATGTGTTGCCATCGATGACAGACACACTTCCGGGGAAGATATGCGGATGCGATGCAGTGATAACGAGATAACGAGACCAATGACTTCACGCAAGACAAGACATCACATGACACTCGCGTCGAGAACTGATAAGATTACTGTCGCTGCGATGATAATGCAATGGTAACCACGAGTACAATGTCTTCATTCATCACCGCATTTATGACCGTTAAGTCGGCGCTATTGTCATCGGTTCTCATCCTCTTCATCATCGGTCTCATCGATTACGCGATTATCACTGAACCCAACGGCTGTGACATGACATTCATGTTTCAATACCCGCAGTTTGTGGTCAGTGTTTGCAGATCCGGCTCAAGACATATGTCTTGTAATTAATATATGTGTTGCCATTCTTGCAGTTATTGCCACATCGGGAACAGATTGCTCTCAAGTATCCCAACTATCATCTCTTTGCATACGGCGAGGGGTAGCTATATATTCATCTATGATTAGCACTTCATTGACTACTAATTATCTCATTTCTCTGTCCAATTCTTCGGCAGCCAATACACCGATACTCTTCTGTATGTGTTTTAACGCTATTTTTATTATTAACTAAATTTGTCGATCGATTCCTGACTTTGATTTTTGTTTCATTTGTTAATTATGTCTGAAGTAATGGTGACTTTAAAGGAGTTCCCGTCGTATTTGTTCCCGGAAATGGCGGCTCTTTTAAACAGGTATTGATCTAATGGTGTTGTATATCGACCGCAGATATGTTGACACATGTTATCTGATCCGTAGGTGCGATCTCTTGGATCGGTGGCGTTGCGAATGTCCGATAAATACTCAACTTTTCATTTCAATTATTTTACCATTGATTTCAATGAGGTATGCATTAGATTCGTGTCTGAAATCCATGCGATAATCATTTGTTATTTTGTGCTGTTCTTCAGGAATACTCCGGAGTTAATAGCTTTCAACTCCAAAGTCAGACACTATTTCTTAAGGAAAGTCTCATAAAAATCATGGATTTATACGAGAAAAAGGGGAGAAACGTATCGCTTGTACTCATTGGACACTCAATTGTATGTGTATTATAATTGTTGTTACATTAAGTGTTGATATAAAGTATAAATTCGCTGACTGTTTAAACATAGGGCGGACTCATAATTAGATCATTGTTATCATTACCCGAATTTGATCCGTACGTCCATCGCGTAGATTTGGTCATAACTCTGGCCACACCTCATAAATCTCCAGGTTATTCATTCAACTATCCCTCTAATTGTTACCATAATGAATGTCGTGCTTATAGTTGTTCCCATTGACTCGCGAATGACATCGTTTTACAACGATGTGGAAGAATATTGGGCCACAAATCGGGATAATTTTCGTCATATGAACGTGATATCAATCGGTGGCGGATTCAATGATAAGTTGGTTCGTTCGCATCTCACAAAACTCAATGACGATCACCCGAACGATCTGACTGTCGTGTCCACAGCCATCGATGACGTGAGTTGTCTTTAGTAATACTAATCGCAATTCACTTATAAAGTATCGGTTTTTTTCTGGTCATAGGTTTGGGTCTCAACCGATCACTTGTGTATCGTTTGGTGCAAACAATTAACACTTAAGATAACGCGACTTCTCTTCGACTTAACCGACAAGAAGTCGCTGAAACTCGTGGACAACATTGCGGACAGAAATCGGATCATTAGATATCACTTCATGGAGAGGACGTTAGGGAAGAATTTTCCCGGATTTCTAATTCCCGAATACATAACACTCGCGCCGACCGGCGAATGGACTGAAAACTACGAACGGATTATTAAATTTACAAAACCAAAGGTTATTTTTACTGAATTTAAATTATGGTTAAACTAATGGCAATAATTGTGTTGTTTGTTGCGTTTAACCGACAGGTCTTACAACCAAATTATATGTTACTGCCATTAATGCGAAGAGAAAGTATTGTTATACAGTTTGAAGGCCATTATAGGCACGATTGGGTGATGGCCTGCTCTGCCGTTAAGAAAAATAATGTTACGCTTTGGTAATGAAAAGACACGATATGTTAACTGAAATATAAATCTATAAAACAATTGTCTATGTATTCAGTGATAAGGGCCGGTCTCTACACCAATACGTACGGCGTTTGCCATCGAAGCCCAAAGATGTTGAGCGCCGTCTGTTCACTGGCCTCTCGTCTCTACTACTAAACCAAGGATTTACTCATTTATTGTTAGCCATCAGTTCATCGGTAGAACCGGTGGACATACAGATCGATCGGTTCACCACAAGCATCCGGAGCCGAACCATACAACTGCCAGCCCTGTGGCAGAGTATCGTCCGGTTCTTCGCGTGGTCTACAGTGATGGACA